TAACAATGTTATTCAATCACTAATGTAGCTTCGTATTTAGGGAAAATAGAGCAACAAGCCGACAATTTTCAGGGGTTTATTGTTAATTGAAGTGAGTTGGGGTTGTTGAATTTAAGGTTTTGAGGAAGATTTGGTTTTGTTTAGTAGGAATTGGTTGTAGTAGGGGAAGTGTGACATCCCCATTTTTACGGCCAGAAAATACCGATTTGTTTATGCTTATTAAATCAAAGTATTCTTTTAAAAAAATTAATTATTTGAAATTTGTCATAAAAATATGATAATGATATTATCAAAGCATTTTCGAAGAAATGTGTTTTGTTTATGTTTTTAAAACTCGGGATGCCATAACTGATATAAAACATAAACATAAACGAAGACTTACAATGTCTCAACATACTAACGGTCTGCATCTTGAATCTCTCATTATGCATGTACCTTTATATCGTTACCTGTGAAACAAAGAAGCTACTCATATATAAATGCGTTTTACCCGACTCAAAAAAAATTATTAGATATTTTTTGTGCCACCAATCTATTTAAATCTTAGATCTGCAACTGGCCGTGTCTATACATGCAATTGACTCAAAAACATGATCTTACTTGAATATAAAACAAAAAGTAATCATAGACAAATCATAAATTCTGCCTAAAATCTCAAATCATCGATCAATGTTTTTTTCTTAGCAAATCAATTATGATGTCGATTAGTGAGTGAAATTGTTGAAGACTTGGTTTGAGGATCGGGAAATAGTAAATAACCGTGTTGAGATTAATGGAGATGGTCAATTATTCAATTCCATAGAAGCGGTCTTCGATTTTTTCCTTTACCGCTTAGGCACTCGACGAGCCAAAAGCCCAATCATATGCCAATGTTATTTTGTATCAAAATATAATTGTGCCTAAGATGTCAATATCATATAAAAATAAACCGAAAGTATAGGACAAGTTAGGGGTAGGGGTGGGGGCAACACCCGCTTGCCCCCCTCTCCTCTATCTATTTGCTTAATCTCTCAACACAAAGTTGAATCGTCATATACAATCTTTTGCGTGTCGTAAGGGTGGCTACAACGTGTTCCATGAAGAGTACAATAACATTAAATGCAAGTAAAAATGTGATATCATTGATTAGTTTTCAACACCCTTTACTTCTGAATAACATACTACATATCAAAAATAGTACACACACCACCATTAAATTACTACTTTAATGGGATTCCATATCCAAAACCAAGCAAATAACATATAACAAAAGCGATCATAGAAATAACGTCATCCGATATAGCCATCACAAAACACTATAGTGATGGATGTCACCACTTAAACTTATGGGATATTTATCACTGAAATACAACTCCACATCATTTATTAATTAAAATTAAATCAAAAATACATTAAAAACATAGTAAAAAAAACTAGTTTTTTCATTAAATTAAAATAAGACATTACATTAATTTTTAAAGTACATTAATTAAAAAAAACACATAGTTAAAAAAACATTAAAAAAAAACCTACCCCATATTCTTATATTTTGCTCGAATAGACTCTTTCATTGCGAGAAAAATCTTCAAGTCATCGCCCTCATAGTCGTCCGCTTTCATTTTCAATATCTCCATATCGTTTGAAACGTCGTTTGCACTTCTAACCTTTTTTTGTTCCACGTGACTCATCATCGTTGTCTTGTTCTCTTGTATTTGGACATATTAACCAATTTTTTTCGTCAAAATGATCGATAACGTTAGATTCCAATGTCGTTTTCTATGTTTCAGTTCTTCCAATAGGCCGACGAAGAGGTTGCTCATTTTCAAGATCTATTGGATCATCGTTTGATGTCGATGTGTGTTCACGCGTCCGATTGTTGGGAAGTTGCATCAGAGTTTCTTGAACGCTTTGAACCGGAAGAGGTTTGTGAAGTTCCTTCGGTTTGCTCTTTCCATTTTGGAGCATCTTTCAATTTTAGCCACGATTTGAGATATGGAAAAGGTTTGCGGGTTACCGATATTTTTTTCATATTGATCCAAGGCTGCCTTAAACACATCGAAATCGTTTGACCCGCTTTTGTGTAGGTTGTTAAGGTTGTTGTAAATTCTGCCGAATTCGGTACATTTTAGACTTTCACCTCCTATTAAATCATAGAACACGTTTCGAACTTTTTCCAAAAAAACAATTATAGGTTTAACTATGTCCCTCAATTAGGTCTTGGAAAGTCGATACCCACGCGTGTACTAAATTCTCTTTTTCCTCTTTTATAGGGTAACCACTTTTGAGCAAATTCATAAAACCACCTTGAGGTGATTCATATTCGCATATTGGCGGGGAGTTATATCTAACGCAAAAGTGTTATCGGGCTTGCGATTCCGATAGTTTGGTGGGGTATTTTGATTGGGATCTATGATTTTTAGATTGTAAACAAAGTTGTATGTGTAAATAGAGAAAGAGAAGAATGGTGTAATACATTAGGTTGTGTATTGTGGTATTTATATAGGTATATGTTTGTCTTTTTATTAATTTTTGAAATATTGTCGTTCAACGGCTAGTCAAATTGGTCAAAGGTCAAATGGAGCATTTATTGGTCGTTGTGGAGCGTTGAATGGACCAAAAATGTCCACGACCACGAGCCACCACAAATAGTCGGGATGTTTGTAATCGTGATTTGTGGCCACGTAAACGAGACCACTGTTGTATGCATACCGAATGGTCTAAGAATAACGTTTTTGAGTAAGAGTACCTTAAACCATCCAATATGCAAACAACGGATGACCTCGTTGTTTACGTGGTCACGAACCATGATCACGAACATCATCCCGACTATTCATGGTGGCTCGTGGTCATGGTCATTTGTGGTCCGTTCAACGCTCCACAACAACCAATCAATGATCGATTCGACCTTGACCCATTTGACTAGCCGTTGAACGGCAATATTTAAAAAAATAAAAAAAAAAGTAAAACAAACATTTATCTATATAAATACCACAATACACATCCTAATTTTTTACACTATTCTTTTCTTTATTTACATATACAACTTTGTTTGCAATCCAAAAACAATGGATCCCAACCAAAATACCCCACCAAACTATTGAAACTGAAAGCCCAATAACGCTTTTGCATTAGAAACAACTCTCCGCCAATACACGAACATGAAATCACCTCAATGTGGTTTTATGAATTTGCTCCAAAGTGGTTCCCCTATCCAACAAACGCAACTTTTTCAACAACAATTTATATTTCGTATACAAACAACTTTTCCAACCACAACATTCACAACCCCCTCATTTGCCGAATTTTGTAAGGGAAACACAACCTTCACCACCACCCCAACCAAAAAAAAAAAAAAAAAAACCCTCGTGTGAACCAAAGCAACTGATAAGGTGCAATGGACAAAAAAAGAAGAAGAGAGTTTAGCACACGCGTGGGTATCGGCTTCCCAAGACCCAATTGAAAGAGATAGTCAAACCTATAATTGTTTTTAGGAAAAAGTTAGAAACGTGTTCTATGATTTAATGGGAGGTGAAAGTCGAAATCTCGACCAAGTTTGTTCGAAATGGCATGATTTGAGGCTAAAATGTATCGAATGCGGCAAAATTTACAACCTTAACAATCTACACAAAAGCAGGTCAAGCGATTTCGATGTGTTTAAGACGGCTTTGGATCAATATGAAAAAATAACGGTAACACACAAACCTTTTCCATATCTCAAATCGTGGCTAAAATTGAAGGATGCTCCAAAATGAAAAGAGCAAACCGAAGGAACTTCACAAACCTCTTTCGGTTCGAAGCTTTCAAGAAACCCGATGCAACTTCCCAACAATCGGACGGACGAACACACATCTACATCAAAGATGATCCGATGGATCTTGAAGATGAGCAACCTCTTCGTCGGCTCATCGGAAGAACTAAAGCAAAGAAAGCGGCTTCGTCGGCTAGGAGATCTAGCGTTATCAATCATCTTTGAAAAAAAATTGATCGATATGTCGAAATACAAGAGAGCAAGACGACGATGATGAATCTAGTGGAACCAAAATTGCTAGAAGAGCAAACGTCATTTCAAGACGCACAAATGACGTTTCAAACGAAAACCGATATGGAGATATTTAATGAAAATTGAAGTGGTATTTTAGTGATAGGTATCCCATAGATTTAATGGTTGAATGTGGTGATGAGGTGACACCCACCACTATAGTGGTTAGTGGTGGGTATGCCGGATAGCCTTATAGAACTACTAAAATTTTATTATTATTAGAATTTTGTTGTTTATTATTTTTTCTATTGAATGGTTTCGGCCAAATCTTGTTTCGTCTTCTTGTACATATCTCTTTTGTGTCGTGCCCTTTAGCAACCAAATGTTTTAGCTTTGATCTTTAGCCTCCTTCAGCTGATATTCTATCTTCAGAACGTCATCCTTAACATATTCAGCAACCTGAACGCCTTCTAAACTGCTATTTATTTGCTAACTCCTAAAGCTTTAGCTTTGGTTAGCCATTAGACCCTTAACCTCAAGGTTTTTCATGTGTTTGTCTTCAACAAGCTTATATAATGTAGGGTTGTAACCTAGCAATTTCCCTCTATATACTAAAGAATCTAGTAAGTGGTAACATCATGACTGAAACTCAACTTGTTTTCGAAGTAGGTTACATGCAGATTCCCCATTTCAATAGTTTATATAATTAGGTGCCAAAGCTAAACTAAAACACTATTTCTAACCTTAATTACCAGTGTAAAGTGAAGCCTTTGGTTTACTTATACAAACTTTCAAATGTAAAAGTAAACATTATCTTCAGCTGAAATAAACCACGCATTGTTTTGCACTAGAACCATACAAATTGGCAAAGAATGAAGGAATTAAGAAACTAAAGTGATAAGCAAGAGAATTTGTAATCCAAGACGAATATGTTAATAAGCAAGAACATCGCATAACATACAGATTATTCAACTTCGGATTAAATATACTGTTACACTTACTTGAAGAAAAGTATAAGTAAAGAACCTGGAACAGGCATCCATTAGAGGTTAGCCACCTGCGGAGGTGGAATCACGTAATCAACAACCACAACGCTCTCTATTGAATCCCTGACTTTCTCTTTCTGCGACTTCACAAGCTCAGCATTTGAATCCAACGCCTCCAAATCAGCAGCCCCAGGCAAAACAGCGATTGAAGCGATTGTATACCCTTTCGCCCTCTCATGAGAGAAATTCTCACCCAAACTTAGCTGTTCGATCGATTGAAACTGATATTTAATTCCTCCAATCACTTCCAAAACCCTAGCTTTCTCATTTTCCCCTAAATTCTCCTTTAACTTCAAAAATGAAACTCTCATCGCTGACCCTGGCTTTGGCGAGACACTTGCGTCATTAGATATCCAATCAACGGCCATGATGTCGTCAATGATTGGTTTTATATTCTCTGTGACCACGCGAACGTGCTCAGGATGAGCGGCGTACTCCCGGAGATCCTCCTTTGACCTGTAACGGCTGTGAAGCATGTGAGTGAAGGTAAGCGAAGAAGACCGAGACCGGAGGAGTTGTCCGGCGGAGAGGTGGACGGTGAGGTCGAGTGATGTTAAGCCGTTGAGTCCACTGAGCATAGCCGCGACTTTGCTAGAATCGACATCGGGCTTCACTTTGAAGAGGACCACGTGTTCGACGATCTGGTGTTGTGCCGACATTTTGATCGGTGGTTGGTAGTTGCGGCGGAGGACGAGAGAGTTCAGCCGGCGGAAGAGGGGTTGAGGAGTGGTAAGTGAGAATGATGGCAGCAATCGGGTGCGTGCCGGAGCACACAGCATTGTTGAGGACATAACTGAATTTGGGAAGGATATCACTTGTGATCATAATGGTGGTTTTGACTTTTGATAATGACACTATCGTTGGGCCATTGCTGATAGCCCAATAGAGTTGTTCTGTGTTGAAAGTTGAAAGCTGAAACCCAATAAAAAAAAATACATAAAAGGGACCCGAAAAACATCATGTTTAATATGAAACGATTTTAAAGATCAGTTTACTGTTTACATATATGTCACAAAACATGTCCAAATGGGAGGTTATTTTATTGTTTTTTACTACTTTGACAGGTCTGTTAAAAGTAACACCGTTTGAAAACAGTTTCATGTATTTTTTTTTTCAACTATTTATTTTTTTGATAAAATTGCAAAAATAGTCTCTATGATTTGCCAATTTTTTTGGGTAAGATCCAAAGAAAGTTTATTAGCAAAAAATGTCCTTATTTGATGGTTTAGCTGTGGTTTTGGTTCTATTTCGTTAACTTTAACATTTGGTTGTTAACTTTTTTAAAATGACAGTTTTACCCTCAGATACCATTTTTGCAGTTATCTCTTTTTACCAAATTACAAAGACCATTTCTACAATTCTTCTTTTTAAACTTATTGAATTATTATATATTAATTCTTCTTTCTTTTTAATTTTATTGAACTATTATACATTAATTCTTTTTTAATTTTATTTTTATTGGATTAATTTTTTATCCGATTATTATATATCAGTTAATTCTATTTTTAATATATAATATTTATATATTAATAAATATTATATTATTAATTTCTTTTAACTATTTTTTTAAAATTTTTTTATTGGATTATTTTTTTTTAAAAAAGTTATTAGATTTTTTTATTGGATTATTACATTTAATTTAATATATTCTATATATAATAAATAATATTTTAGTGGATCATTAATTTTTTTTAAATGTATATTATTAATTCTTTTTAATTTATTGGTTCTACAACAAAGTCTTCGGAATACGCAAAAGCACCGCATCACAATGTCGAAAATCATCAGGAACACCGCTAATCACCTTCATCGGAAGTCCGACGGAAACACTACCAACCTGTGTCACCCAACGCCGCTATCCAGTAGCCACCTGCGACAACCTGTTCACAATCCGTCTGAATTCTTTATATTTGTCACTAAGCCGATCGTTTTTCCACTATAACCATCACTATTTGAACCACCAAGAAGTCCAGCCCAAACACCCCTGTCAGTTCCTCCATTTATTGCATTTTACCAGCTTACGCCACAAAATCATACTACCTGGTCAGTTCCTCCATTCGTTGCCTTCCACAAACCGATGTACAACCTTATAACATTAAAGCTTCAAGTCTTGACTACCTGAAAAGATTTAGCGGTGGATCTGGTGGTTTGAAAAACCCAATATCTAACATTGTCGCCATTGACGGCAATGTGGGTAGTTAATTGGGGTAGTTTTTGTTGAGAATAACATATTGTAGGCAACGATCGACGATTTCCGACAAGATGATGTGGCGGCGCAAGGTAGTAGAAAGCAACGAATGGAGGAAGTGACCAGGGGTGTTTGGATCGGAAATCGTCCATTATTGCCTACAATCCGTCATTCTCAACCAAAACTACACCAATTGACTACCCACATTGTCATCAATGGTGACAATGTTAGTTATAGGGTTTTCAAACCACCAGATCCACCGCTAGATCTTTTCAGGTAGTGCATGCTTGAAGCTTCGATGTTATAAGTTGTGCATGGGTTGTGGAAGGCAACGAATGGAGGAACTGACCAGGTAGTTGTTGCGTAAGCTGGTAAAAGGAAACAAATGGAGGAACTGACAGGGGTGTTTGGGTTGGACTTTTTGGTGGTTCAAATAGTAATGGTTCTAGTGGAAAACGATCGGCTTAGTGGCAAATATAAAGGATTCTGACGGATTGTGAAGATGTTTTCGCAGGTGGCTACTGGATAGCGGCATTGGGTGAAACAGGTTGGTAGTGTTTCCGTTGGACCTCCAATGAAGATGATTAGCGGTGGTCCCGACGATTTTCGACAATGTGATGCGGTGCTTTTGTGTATTCCGAAGACTTTGTGGTAGAACCCATAAATTAAAAAGAATTAATAGTATACATTAAAAAAATTAATGATCCACTAAAATATTATTTATTATATATAACATATAATAAATTAAATGTAATAATCCAATAAAAAACCTAATAGTTTTTTTAAAATAAAATAATCCAATAAAAAAAATTTAAAATAGTTAAAAGAAATTAATAATATACTAATATAATATTTATTAATATATAAATATTATATATTAAAAATAAAATTAACTGATATATAATAATCAGATAAAAAAATTAATCCAATAAAAAATTAAAAAAAGAATTAATGTATAATAGTTCGATAAAATCAAAAAGAAAGAAGAATTAAATATATAATAATTTAATAAATTTAAAAAGAAGAATTACAGAAATGGTCCTTGTAATTTGGTAAAGAGATAACTACAAATATAGTTCATGAGGGTAAAATTGTCATTTTAAAAAAAATTAACAATCAAATGTTAAAGTTAACGAAATAGGGACCAAAACCACAGCTAAACCACCAAATAAAGACCTTTTTTGCAAATAAACTTTTTTTTGGACTTTACCCAAATAAATTGGCAAACCACATGGACTATTTTTGCAATTTTATCTTTATTTTTTCCACAACCACTTATTCTTCGGTTTTATAGGAGTAAATTATAGAAATGGTTGCACTTTGATCCAACTTTGTTTTTCGTTACATGACTCGATCTTGTAAACATGTCACCTACACTAGAGTTTGAAATTCCGAAAGCCTTCGTCAAAGTGATTTGTTATCTTTTTTTTTTCTAATTTATTTTATCAATAGAATATTTGCATGTGGTGGAGCTCAAAGTAAAGGTGCGTTTCAACGTGTTCAAGTTGGATTTGAATAAATTTTCAGATGTCACGTATATTTTTTGCCGATGATGCAAACATTTTGGGGATTCGTCGAAGGAAAATGTGTAACGAATTCTTAGATGTGTAACGAGAAATGTGGTCAATGGGATGAATAAGGATTTTTGGAATGATAAATTGCACTCGAATCATATAAATGGGCAAAAGAATGAAACAATCGTTAAATCAAGATGAAAATCACAGGTCTTATCTTACCAAGAGTTTTATATACATTGATAACACAAGAGCATCACATACATAAATATTATTCAACAAAGGGTTAAACATAATGCAACACATACTCGAAGAAAAGTAAAGAACCTGGAACAGGCATCCATTAGAGATTAGCCACCTGCGGAGGCGGAATCACATAATCAACAACCACCACGCTCTCTGTGGAATCACCGGCTTTCTCCTTCTGCAAGTTCACAACCTCCGAATTTGAATCCAGTGCCTCCAAATCAGCCTGCCCAGGTAAAACAGCGATTGAAGCGATCGTAAACCCTTTCGCCCTTTCATGAGAGAAATTCTCACCCAAACTTAGCTGTTCAATCGCTTGAAACTGATCTTTAATTCCTCCAATCACTTCCAAAACCCTAGCTTTCTCATTTTCCCCTAAATTCTCCTTCAACTTCAGAAATGTAACTCTCATCGCCGACCCTGGCTTCGGTGAGACACTAGCACCATTAGACATCCAATCAACGGCCATGACGTCATCAATGATCGGTTTATTCTCGTTGACGACGCGAACGTGCTCAGGATGAACGGCGTACTCCCGGAGATCCTCCTTTGATCTGTACCGACTGTGAAGCATGTGAGTGAAGGTAAGCGACGATGACCGAGAGTGAAGGAGTTGTCCGAAGGAGAGGTGGAGGGTGAGGTTGAGTGATGCTAAGCCGTTGAGTCCACTCACCATAGCCTCGAGTTTGCTAGAGTCGGCATCTGGTTTTACTTTGAAGAGGACCACGTGTTCAACGATCTGCTGTTGTTCCGACATGGTGATTTGATCGGTGTTTAGGGGTCACGGCGGAGGATGAGAGACTTCCGGCGGAAGAAAGTTGGGGAATTGAAATTGAAAATGATGGCAGAAATCGGGTGCGTGCTGGAGCACACAACATTTTTGTGGACATAACTGAAACTGGTGGAGAGAATCAAAGAAGACAACATGTGAATTGTTAATTGTTATGGATTCATGGTGCTATCAACATGACACTATCTATGGGCAAGCATCGCTTGCCCAGTATAGTTCTTTCCTTTGGAAGCCCAATAAGCCCAAAATATCTATATTGAAATAGGGCGTGATCGGCACGGAGCGTTTGGGAGCGTTTAAGAACTTCTAGCTTCTAGCGTTTGACAAAACGCTCCGTTTGAAACAGAAAACCTCGTTCGGCACTACAAGATTCTAGCGTTTAGTTTAAACAAAACGTTACAAATCCAAATGCTACTTCATGTAGCGTTTAACAAAACGCTACAAGCTACCCATTACCCGCTACAAGCTACTCGCTACCAGCTAATTTTGCCGAACACACTCTATAGAAAAGATGCGGATGCATTTACACAAGATTTAGTTAGAGATGCACAAACACCGGTTTATGGTTCGAAACAGGTTTGAAAAATCAATCCGATTTACGATTAATCATTAAAATTATCACAAATATACGCATTGTTTACAATAATATAATTAAATTATTGAATATTAAAAATAACCATATTATTATAAATTATTTTAGAGTTATTAATTTTTTATAGTAATATAGCATAACACATTTTAATTAATTTAAGTATACGAATATTAAAACCTCATCAATTTTTAATTATTTTAAATATATGAATATGAAAACCACATCAATTTAATAGACGTGAATAGATCTATTTCTTGATTTTTAGTAATTTTTATCTTAATCAATTTAGATAGACATTTTTTGTAATCATATCAGTTCAATGGGATCTATGTGTAGGTTGTGTGTGGATTTCAAGGTTCTAAAAAACGTAAGACGTGACTTGACGGCAATGTCAAGCCTCAAGCTTTTCCGAGCCTTGGCAAGCCACGTCGTTAGTAAGGCGTGACTTAAGACAACAATTTTGTATATAATTAATATTTTTATATGTATTTTCACCTATTATTCTATTTTATACACATATATGAGTTAATGGGACGTTTTGGTAAAGCTTGGCGGCATGCGGCGAGCTTTTTAGAACCTTGGTGGATTTTAATGTTTGATTTAGTTGTAATGTTAAACATTATATTTAAAAGTTTGTTAACTTTAAATTATTAAGAAACTACCTTTTTTAAAAAATTCTATTAATATAAAAAATAGTTTTTGATCGATATTTTTTTGTTAATTTGACATTTAAATTTTAGTTTTATATTTAAATATTAATCAATATAGTAATTATAACTAACATCACATTTCAATGAATCATTTAATCATCAATAATTAAAAAAAAATCTTTTGATTTGTAGTGGGGATGAGCGTGGGACGGAACCAATACCGACCAGTACCGTTCCTAATTTTTCGAATACAGAATTTGATTGAAAGTCAATCCCGAGTACCATACCGAATTAACGTTACTGGTACCGGTACCGAATTTCGAATTTCATGATTTTGGAGTATGGAGTATCGTCTCACATTTTAAATTCGGTACGGTTCAGTACCGGTTCCATTACGGTATCATTAAGGGATTAGGATTTGGTACAAAATGTTCATCCCTAATTTGTAGTAGTAAAATGAACAATCATGAGAGTTTCAAATATATATGGCTCGAAGAAAAAATATCCCTTTTATAGCATATATAAAGTTTGACTTAGAGTTTATATTTAAACCTTTACGATTATAAATAATTGAAAGAGAATAATTGTATTTATTGTATAAAATAATATGATAATAGAAGAGACATTAATGTTTGAAATTGAAGACTTATATTATAATTACACGAATGGTTCATATGGTTTGAGGTAATTTACGTGTTTGGTCCCTAACAACTTTTTTTAACCCGTGTCATCCTTATAATTTTATTTTGATTCGGATTTAATCCCCACCAAACCTAAAAAGACTATATTGTCATTTGTGTGTGTGTGTGTGTATATATATATATATATATATATATATATATTATTTATTAATTGTTAATAATAGTATTAAACAGAAATGGTCCCACAACAAATTCATTCGCCTCCCCTTCACCATCTCCGTCATACTAATCTCCATCATACTAGAGTTGGCGGAAAATTGTCGCCACCAATAGTTCCCACAATGCAAAATTACTTCCCCCTTCAAGGTTCTCATTCCTTCGATCTTAGAGTAAATTACATCATAAATCTTCCCCATGTAATCACACATCCATGGTTGCAGACGACATCCCCCACCCCTCTTGTCTGACACAGCCTATGCACCTCTATACTAACCATCACCTCCGACAACCAACATTATCTCATATGGAACTGTCTAAAACCTCACGAAAATAGATCATCGAAAGAAGCTTGCCAAAATTTTGGAAAACTCGAACCAGAAGAACACTTATTTGCATTTTATCACGAAAAAAGATTGTCAGAGAACCGACACCGTAAGTTCCTATCTTCATGTTTTCTGGATTTTCTCCGAGGGGTTTTCTTGATTTTTTTTGCAAATGCAGCCATCGATTTCATTAAAATCTTGGGTTTTTCTGGGTAAACCTTCGAGTATCAGTATATGTCTTCATTTTTCTACAGATGGGTTATCCTTGTATTTGTGAATTCAATTAACAGATGCATGTTTTCTACATAGGCATGTCTTCCTTTTTTATATAGTATTCAAGTAGCCATGGACCTTCTCCGGTTCTTCCCCTTCTCATCTCTCTTGTATTTTGGTGGATTTGTCTACCGATTTGATAAAAGTGAAATCTAGTATTTTTGGTGGATTTGTGATATGTGCATATTTAGCCATATCTTATATACATTATCTTAATATTTTATGTTATACTATAGAACGAAAGGTACTTAATATATTATATGTTGTTATGTAGTGTAAAATACATGCTCGGAAGCAATACAGAAGCTGAAAGTAGGAAAATACGAGCTTAAGCAAGTCGAAGACACAAAAAGAATGTTGTTGGACAGCTTGACCACTTGTCAGTATTTTGGCCATATCTCATGACTCGTAACTTTGATTGACGTGATTCAAAATGATCTGAAAACTAGACACAATTTCGGACAACTTTCATGTTTGGAGAAAATGTTGATTCTCCATAACCACGACGTGGTGAATGGAATATTCACGATTCTTGACGCTGACTTGGAGAATACGGGATAAACTCGAAGACCACGACGTGGTGGCTAGATTTTAGGCAAGTATATATATCCGAACATTAGGACGGATTGGGAGACTTGGAGGTGACTTTATGGAGAAGTATTGCGACAAAAACCCCTGGAAAATCCTTAGAAGAGAATGAAACGATTGGAGCTCAAGAGTTAAAGAGATCTAGAAGAAAACATCATCAATTCATTCGGTTTGATCATGCTTAGCTTTATTCCTATTGAGTTTTTGTGTTTGATTACTGTCATGAGTAGCTAATTTAGTATATTTTCGTTTAGTTAGATAAAACCTAAAACTATGACTTAGTTTCTTTATTATATGAATTTGGTTTATGCATGTGTTTGATTAACATTACCTAGCATGTTAAAGTTTGCATCTTTTTTGCTTTGATTCAAGTTAAGTGTAGCTTAGTGACCATTAAATTACATGAACTTGTTACCTAGTAATTTAGTGACCATTAAATTGCTAGAGCTAGAAGTGACCACATCTTAGATAAAATAATAAAGGTAACAACTTTAACTGTGTTGGAGAACATAATTGTGATCATAATTGTGTTTGATTAATTGTCTTGACCATAGATAATTATCTTAGATATATCTTACATAGCCTAATCATCATTAATAATCAATTATGTGTTTGCTTGTGTATAACCATTGCATAATAGAACATGAATCGTAAAAATATTAGTAGATTGGACCAAAATTGCTAATTACATATAAATTGGTAACCAACTTCATTAATCCATAAATAAGAACTAACCATAGGAAAAATGTGGATTCAAAACTAAACGAAAGTGTTTTTTTATTAGCCTGATTACATCTGTTTTTAGCTAAGAGTTTGTTTTAAGTTAATCTAAACTTGCAAAACCAGATAAAACTCCCACTTCAGTTAATTGTTTTTAGATTAATTTTCAGTAGCTAAATTATTATCTAAATTTGTTCCCTGTGTTCGATACTCAACTTACTTTACTATACTATATACTGACTAGATACACTGCCTATAGGTGTATTAGTGAATAAGTAGTTAGGTTTATAAATTTAAAGTTAGATAGGTATAATTTGTACACATCAATTTGTCTTCAGATTTGAAAAAATGAAATCACACAGTAAAAATGAATTTAGGGATTTAATTTTTTTTGTATGGGATTTTAACTGGTTTAAAGGTTTTTTGAGTATAGGATTATACGGGATTAAAAAATTTCAACGGAACTATGACCATAAAATGGACTCCCAATCAAGATTCTTGCTACTGATTTCCAGATAAACTTTAAACGGGATTATGATTTGGGTTGGGTTTTGTGTATCATATTGCATCTAGGTTTTTCTTGTGGAAAAAGTTTTATTTTGTTTTTATTGATTTTTGGATTCTTTTTCATGATTTGTCAGTAAAATGAAGATTGATAGATTTCTGGTAAGATGGAGGTCAAGACGATGGTCTTGATGGAGAAGACGAAGGCATGGTGGTAGTTTGTGGAGGAAAAACAAGAAGAATAAGGTGATGGTAGGAGGTGGGAAGTGGGACCCACACATCTAATAATCAAATTTCTTTAATCTCTAAATATTATTAAAAGAGAAACCTTATGACATCATTTTAAACAATCTGGACCCTTGATTGTATTTCAATCATATGTTTTCTACCCTTAGATCAAATTGATGAGATCATCTTCCCCAAATGGAATGTATTTAATTCCAATAAAATCTTCTCA